GGGGAGAAATTTCTCCTGAGGAAAATTTTCCGTCGTATCATACCGAAATTTATGTTTGTGACCTAATTTTTAAAAAAAATTTGTAAATCCCCACACAAAAACGGCACCTATTGTTTTAATTTAGTATTTACAGCGACATTAGCTTCTACAAAAGGGGCACTTTTCCTCACAAAAAAGGGCACTTTTCAACACAAAAAGGGCACTTTTTATCACAAAAAAGGGCACTTTTAGTCCTTTAAAAAAATTTGGGGGGGCACATGCCGCCCGTGCCCCCCCGCTTCCTACGCCCCTGGTAGAAGCCATTTAATGTTGCTTGTGGATGTGAGCCGGCCCTCACAATAGGTTAATTTTCACATCTAAACACGAGGTGAAAACCACCCTACTGGCAGGGCTAACCCTTCATGTATGGCTCATGTAAACAACCTCTCAGTCCTTTTAAAAGTTTGGAACTTTCCAGCGGGACGGCTTCAACCATAGAATGAGTAATATGAGTTAACATTTCAGGTTACTTGTAGTGCAATGGCTGTGACAGTCTATAGTGCATTAAAGCCAGGTTTCCACTTAGTCCTGTCAGGGCGGTTATGGTCCTGTTGTGAACATATCAAGAGAACTGAAGTAATAAAGTGTTGATATATCTCAGTCAGTAAAGGCTGATTTGCACACAGCACAGAAAGACAAATAATCCAGGCTATTGTGACTGTCATGACTTGGTCAAGACATTTATAGAGATGATCTATCAACCCATTAAGTTGCATTGCGCCCTAATGCACCCCACTTGAGTAAATCCATTTACCAAGTCAAATCCGAGTCAAACGCCCGAGTCACGTAAAAAAAGGAACGAAATTTAATAAAATTCACAGTCGAATAGGGTTAGGAGTACGGTTAGGGTACTAATCAAGTCATTGAACCGACAAAGACAATTAAACAGTGACAAGGACTTGACTCGGTTAACCGACAAACTCCGAAATTAAATGAAATTCACAGTCGAATAGAGTTAGAGTACGTTAGGAGTTGGGTTAAGCCTGGTTCACACGATGAAATAAGCATAGGCATAAGCATAAGCAAGCGGAACCTTTGATGTGCATAAGCATAAACATAAGAACAAATGTTGCGTTCTTCTTATGCTTACGTTTATGTACATCAAAGGTTCCGCTGCTTGTGCTTATGCTTATTTCATCGTGTGAACCAGGCTTTAGGGTATTAAGTCATTGAAATGCAAAGACCACTAAACAGTGACTCAGACATTTTGACTTGGGCTCGGATTTGACTCAGTTAATCGACAAACTCTACCCCACTTTATTATTTTACTCTGTCTAATGCCAGATGATTTTACTTGTCAAGGGGAGGGCACTAGTGCTCAATTGGTGAACCAGGCTATCTGCCCATGTGTGTCTAGTTAACCCTTTAAGTTGCATTGCTCCCTAATCAGTGTAGGATGTTGGAGTATATTGATAACTCTCAGGTTTTTTAAATTACTGGATAATTCGTTTTTCGATATACCAAAAATATTGAAATATGTTCAGTATATTCGGTATTGAGCATGTTTACCAAAATTTGTTCTCATTAGAATTGTGTGCAAAAAACTTGAAAGTTTCAAGTAGTTGGCAGTTGTTTCATCTGAAGATGTTTTACCTATCAGTTACATGTCAACAGCTGTGAAATTTCTCAAATATTTGAATAACGTGCATTGCTTTCTGTAGTTTGGCAAAAATCAGGATTTAGTGACTTTCAAGAATAGGAAAAATATCGAAATATTGATATTGTTGATTTTTTTATATTGATATTCATGTGATTTGGTACGCAATGGGTCAATTTATTTTTAATTTTAAATTCAAATGAAAACAATGTCAAAAATGTTTCTAAGGGAAAATGTCATAATAAAATGTAAAACAAACTGTTTACATTACAGTCCTAAGGTTCAATGCCATAAATATGGCTCAAGATTCCATTCATGTTACACAAGGTTCACATAAGTTAGCTGGCAACAGTTTTGGAAGAAGTCTGATTTATATCAGGGGGGCAACAAGTTCAATCCAGAGAATAGTCTTTCACTGTTCATGAGAACCATTTCATAGTTACAGTAAGAGCCATTCATCAGGCACAAGGTAGAACACCTACACCAACACCACCTTGATGCAAGATCATTGATGGAGCTGGAAACCACTGCTCAGCAACTGGATCATACCGCTCCACAGTACTCAGGTTAGACATACCATCATAGCCACCAATAGCATAAAGATGACCACCAAGTGTTGCCAAGGCAACTCGGCTTCGTCTGGAGCTCATGGGTGCCAACAACGACCATGCACCTTCCTTGGGGCAATACCGCTCCAATGAATTGAGAAAGGAGTTACCATCGTAACCACCGCATGCATAGAGACAACCATCCATTTCCACAACACCAACACGACATCTCCTTGACTGCATTCCAGGCATTGACGTCCATGTGTTCAACTGAGGGTCAAAACATTCTACAGAACTAAATATCTGCAAACCATTGTGACCACCAGCAACATAGAGTTTGCCACTCAAAGACACCATCCCAGCGGCACTACGGAGGGTAGTCATAGGAGAGGTGAATCGCCATTGCTTTGTCTCAGGATTGAAGAACTCTACGGTGTGAAGAGAGATGTGACCATCATAGCCACCAGATACAAATATATTGCCATTCAAGGTGGACGCTCCCAAAGCACTACGTCGGGTATTCATTGATGATGTCTTGCACCATGTGTTTTCTTCTGGGTCGAAGAATTCAACTGTGCTTAGACGATCATTCCCATCATACCCACCCAGGGCATATAACTTGCTACCGAGAACTGCAACTCCAACTCTTGTCCGTAGAGTTAACATTGAGATACACGACTGCCAACTGAGGTTAAGTAGATCAAATTTCTCAACTGTACTGAGTGCTTCACCACTTTGTGTGAGCCCACCAATGGCATAGATCTCTCCTGCTGCCTCACTGCATTTCCTTGGCTTAGCAAATATGCCTGTATAGTTCATTCTTCGCTCAGGCAGCAGAAAATAATTCTTCACCTCGTCAATAACATCACGACATGTTAGACTGTTCCGAATAAGTTCATCATTGCAAACTTTATCACAAAGATACTGGGGTGATAGGAGAGCTAGGCGGACATTCTTTAACAAATTTGGTAAAAATACTTTGCGATCTTCTTCATCTTTTTTTATCCATTTCATAACAGCTTCAAAAACCTGTTCCTCTGAACGAATGTTTAAATCTTCACGAGTCAAGAGTTTTGACATGTTTTCATAAGAAAGCGCACAGAATTCCTCGGAATTAACAACATGTTTAAAGTTTTGGACAGCGTATGCATCAGCTGCTTGTGACAAAGACTGGCAGCTGAATGCCTCGGCAAAATTAAGGATCCCAAGACAATTATTTGGATGAAGTCTTTCTTGAAAAAATTCAACACAGGCATCTTTAACTTGAATAAGTTGCAGTAAACTGGCTGTTACTAGAAGGCTTTGAGCATTTTTCGTGGTAATTTCTATCTTTCCGCTATAGCAGTAATTAATAAGTAATTCAAGAGCTTTAAATTCGACTCCATATAAGGCGACCTCATCTTGTCGGCTCTCCAGCATATCACCTGTAAACATTGCATGAAAATATGGACTTGCGGCGGCCAAAACAACTCGATGAGCTTTCACTGAGTCATCCCCAACTTTCAGGGAGATATCACATAATTTTTCATTTTCTTTGAGCTGAAAAAGTTGAGAAAATGCATCAAATTCAAAGTTTTGAATTGAAATTAATTTTCTATCTTCTTCCATCTCGGAAGCCATCTTGAAATGGGTGACGTCAGATACGGCATTTGCCCCACTGTACCGGAACATTTGACATGTTTGTGTTGCGGTTGCTTTCTAGCCAATCAGGATTACTAAAGTTCAGCCAATTGTATACCTGATGAACTAACCAATAATAATTCAGCATAGCGGCTCATTCTCGTTGTTTTTCTTCCTTGCTTTTCTTCCTTGTTTTTCTTCCAGGACTTCCAGCGGACGTCAGTGAAACCCTGTCTCATAGTAACAGTCCTCTTTCCTTGCAGCTGAGTGGTAGTGAACTGCATTGCACAGGTCTCAGATTCAGCAAGGCTGCTTATTAGTCCGCTTTTACATGGCATACGTTGTCCAAATCTCATTCCCAGTTGCCCAAATCCTATCTTCCCATTGAAAAATAGAAAAATCCCAGCTCCCATTTTACCGGTTTAAAATCGCATTCATCTGGCTCGATAAATAATTTATACAACAGTACATGTACACTACCTGCTGTAGTGTCTGTGCGGCAAAACAAAATTTAATGAAAATGAAATGCAATAAGCGTATACTAGAGTAAAGAAATAAAAGTTCAAAACGAAAATTTCGATTTTTACTTGGGAATTATGCATTGAATAGTCTTCGGTTAGTTTAAGTAGTTTATAGCTCCTTTCTTCACACATATTGACGTTTTCTAAATTGGCATGAAGCGAAACGATCTGTCATTCCGATACAGCAGACATTTAAATAATGTTGCCTATAATGGTTAAAAGAAACATATATTGATGCACCAGTAAGATGAGATATCAAATAAATAGAAAATGTTAAGTACAAGACAAAACAAAAATACATGACAACATCAAAGAATATACAGATAAACTGAATGATAACGTTACCTATGCTGTATGCAAATTTATAACATTATGTGACATGTGTCATATTGTTTATTGTGAGCGAGACACACGTCTGACATGTACACAGTCCTGATGTCGCAAAGTTAATTTGTACTAGCTAATTTCTATATAGTTTATGAAATTTATGTTACCGCCGTTTGTTAAATGATAACGCCAAATGCATGGGTAGCTTTGTTGCAGCTTTGGCGGAATATTTATGCGCAAAGAGAAGAATGTTAAAGAGTCAGGATGCTACCTCGGATATTGTTTTGGATTCTTTCGATTATTTGTTTGTACGTGATAGTATCTGTCTGTAGTCGAAATGGTTTTATATCACTAGAAAGATTGAACAAGGAAGCAACAAATCCTGGTATGCCATCGATTGATGATAATCCAAGAGATAGAGTGCTGGTTTTAAATTATGAAATGGCGTTGACTGCTTATAAAGAAACCATCAATAGACAGAGAGGGAAACTACAAGCAAAGTTCGTTCTGCTTCCCGGTGCATTTATACCTCAAACACAAGGAAATTTCGAGTGCGAAAATTCAGAAATACGTGGATTGTGTGGTTTTTATGTCGAAAGTTACGATGATGCGGTTCAACTTTGCGATATAGAATATAAAGATGAATGCAATGCATTCGTATTAACTAAATATATGTTAGTTCATTTGAAGAAAAATGTTCCAGATATTGTTCCAGATCAAGGCTCATCTGTTTTTGTGAAAAATGAAATACTAAAAGAAATGAAAACTAAAGGGAAAGTTTAGATGTACTATAGTGTCTACTGTTATAATTTACTGCATATGTGCAGACTTTGTAATCATTGTGTTTAGTGCGGAAACCCAGATCTTCATCAAAAGGATTTGTAAATTTATATCTATATTCTTCAACTGATGACTCTGGAATGGAAATTGTATGGACCTTTATTGGAAATAGAATAGATTTTGATTATCCATAATAATTGTATATTTCCATACTATGGATATAGCATCGAAATAGCATGGATTTACTATATGGATTTAGTGGTGCAATTGCAAATTTCATAGTATGGATTTCAAATTTTTTCCCAGTGTGAAGTTCTGGACTTGGGGATCCAATGCTTTATCATTAAATAAATGCAAACAGAACGATTATATTTATTGTCATATAAACCTACAAAAAACACTATAGATATCATCTAGTTGAGCTATGTAAGGAAAAGACGAAGGAAAGCACTACCGTACAGTCGGTGGTTTTACATGTGATAGAAAATCATGTTCATATTCTTGGGGTTCACCTGAGCATTATGTAGTGAATCTGACGCGGGGGTCAACCTCAAATGTATTGATGCTTATGCTATACTGGAGTGAGAAAATGATACAAAATTCTATGTATTTCAGCATTTGCCACCAAACACAAGGCCAATACATAAAACAAACAATCGACTCACTCTGATAACTGTGTTTTGTTTTAGAGTTGACCCCCCGTTCCCAAGAATACGTAAACTTTAGCTTTGATTTTCAGTCAGCTTAGACAACGTTGATTTTTAAAATTACTTCGTCAATGAACTCATACGATGGGTCGTTTTTTTAAGCCATTTAAAACACTCGCAGTTCGTGTTTTATATCTAATAAAGCACGAACTGCGAGTGTTTTAAATAGTCTTGACTGAGTAAGTAATATGAGTGAGTATAAATAATACTTGACGTAATCGGTCACTGAAAAGTCTCGATGGAGCTGAATAATGTATTATAATAATTATAATAATATAATACACAACCCCTCATATAAGTAAGCGTTGTTTAGAACTGCCTTGTTTAAAAATGTGTATCTTATTTTTGTCCTATTCATGAATTTTAACTTGTTCTGGATAACTATATAACCGATTTATTGAAGGACGATTCTGTTAAAAACAGCGTTGATTTATTGTAGGTCGCGTATACCACTTGAATTGATCAATTCACCATCAGACAGAATGGAATACAATACTTACATAGGGGCCAGCTGATCTCGTGTTCGTATTTTAGCCAATCGATCAGCGCTCAGAAAGGGTTGTCCGAATAGAAATCCATTTTGATGTATTCAGTCAATTATATCTTTCGTTATTCTTTATGAAACTAGTTGAAATTTTGTAATTATGATTGGTTATGAGAACTATAGCGCTGACAAAAATATGGAATCGAAATAAAGGATATTACAGGAGATATTCAATTGTTTTAATCATAAAATGGATTTCTATTTGACAACTAGTGCCAGTACTTTTCCGCGTATCAAATCATCTGGTACATCAGTTTTCTCAAACGGCTGGTTACATGAAATACACATGCAGAGTCAAATATGTAATAAGGATTGGTTCATTGGTTGAGATCAATTTATTTCAATTCTCTATCTCAACAATGTCACATATAATAGATAATGGAATATAAAAAGAATTAAATACCATTATAAAGGTGCTGATCACCTGGGCTATAGGGAGTTTGACGGACATATACTTTAAATAATAACAAAACTTCGGATTGATGTAAGTATGCAACTACTTGAAAAATACAAGGAGAACTTCGACGTTTCGAGCGAAGGCCCTTTGTCTCCGACATCCTGGCCAGAGTTAGTCCAAACTCTGCTATACTAACTTCTCGACAAAAAAGGGCCTTCGCTACAATAAATAACTTGTATTTTTCAGGTAGTTGCATCCCTACCTGCAATCCCGGCGAAATTTTGTTATTAGCAATAGGGCACCATACCTACACTGGCACTTCAAATACTAGTATTAATAATACTACATTTCATTGTTATTTATACTAATTATATGAATTGTCCTTTATATTGAAACATTTGGTCATCTTGAGGTGCCATGATTATATAACTATAGTAAAAATTATCCAATCAAGTGACCTAAGAAAATCACGGGGCGTTTATTAGATACATGATTCGGCAGTTTTACGTTTCTTAAACAAAACTTTTCAGCGGTTTGTTACAACAATTTGCAAGTAGAGGGAACAAAAGTCAAAACTCTTCAACTTTCATGGCTCTTGCACTCAATTTTGAACCTTGAATTGAGTCCATTAAAAGGTCGTATAAAAAGGGGGCGTTTATTAAGTATGAGACGTTTGTTTAAACCACTTTCACTTAATATCCAGTGGCAGCGCTAGAGGGTGTCACTTTATATTCGCATGCAGAAGTGTACGATGAAGACGAACTAGTAGGGGAAATGTCATTCCCGTCCTCTGTCGTACTAGTTTGTCGAATGCTTTGTTGGGGAAAAGTCCTTTGCTTTTCGTTTTGTTCTTGTGCATCATGTGCAGTTTGTCGACTTTTCGTACGGTTCGGAACGTCATCAACCTGTGAAACGATACATCTGTCATTATTGCAAACAAAAATGGTCAAACACGTTGCGATTAAAAATTGCCGGTCGAAATCACATTGTTTCATCTTTGTGCATAAAATGTTCTTCGAATTTTTGAAAGAAAGATTCTTAAATTTGAATCAGAAATGAGAATAATTTCAACAGCTTCGAAGCAATCTGAGCAAATCGTCCATGCGATTTCGTTCGGCAATTTTAAATCGGATTTAGAGTATAGCTTGCAAACAGTTTATGCAGAAACTCTAAACGAATTTCTGTATAGACTTTTGACATGCTAGATTTAGAGTTGTTAGTTTCAGAATTATCAAGATTCTCTGCAGGAATCATTTCATTACCTGTTGTACCTGGTCTATTTGTTGACACTCGTTTACAGTATGCGCCATTTCTGAACTGTTCTCTGACGTAGTGGCACCCATAGAGATTATAAATAACACTCTAGGAGGCATCGAGTTTAAAAATTGGGAACGCAGCTAATGGGGGGCAAATTCAAGTCCCGGATATAAAATCGTGCTCTCATTGGCTGATTTGCAACTCGTCACCAATGGGAACACGAATACACATCCGGGACTTGAATTTGCCCCCCAATAGTCGCGTTCCCTTTTTTTTACTGAATTAAGATTACAATGCCTCCTCTAGTGTTATTTATAATCTCTATGGTGGCACCACTATCATTCTGATTATCGCATGATGGTTGAATTTTTTTCATGATACATTTAACTAGTCCTCTGTTTTGTAAACTTTCTGCAATAGGCACGAGTACCGTTACATCCCTTTAAACTCCTGATGTGATGGGTCTTTTAATATTCGAGACAGTGCTTTGTGAAGTAATTTTATTTCATTTTCACAAGTTTCTTTATTTACACCTTTGGCTTGTCCGGCCCGAGTTGCTCATTTCTCTCAAAGTTTCCAAAGGCTCTCTGACGTATTGTATGGCAAATCGACTGTTAAGCGATAAACAGGGAAACGGAAATGATCCTGTTTGTAATTCTTCTCAGGCTCTTTTTTATTTTTCCGTCTACCTCATCCAAATTGTCTTTCATGTAGCAATCAGGTGGCATGAGCAACACTAATTTTTCAAGGACAGTTTTAATAACGCTTTCAGGTCATAGGCGTATCGGCCAGGGGGGGCCTATAAGAACCTTGTACCCAAGCCCACGCGCTCCTATCGATCAGTATATAGCGCGAAGGTCTGAGCATGAGAAAAATTTCAAATATTAAACTGTTTTAAGCTGTAAAACGAAGAGATTTACATAAAAAAAATCAGAGGCGGCAGAAATCGAGAGGCGGGCGGTAACGCTAACCAAGTTTTTTTTATTATTTATTTGGCCTAAGCATGATATCGAGAATTACCAAGTCCAAGGCCTCAGACTCAGTTTGGGTTATCTGGCGAGGTTGAAAGCTGTTGATCCAAATGATCCACAAAAAGCAAATGATCCAAATGATCTACAAAAAGCAAATGATCCAAATGATCTACAAAAAGCAAATGATCCAAATGATCCACAAAAGCAAATGATCCAAATGCACCAGCCAAAAAGCAAAAGATCCGAATGATCTTACAAAAAGGAAACGATCCAAATGCACCAGCCAAAAAGCCTGACGATCCAAAACAAATAGGTAGCTAAAACTAGTATTATTTAAATAACAAAGAACAAAGTGAAATGATATAATTCCATTATTTGCTATTGGTGTGACGTCACTCTTGACTTGTGACGTCACCCGTGACTTGGTATATCGCGCATAAACCGGTATGGGTGTGTGACACCCCCCACCCCCCCAAAAAAGAAAAAAAAAACACGAATCATCTGGATTGGCAGGGCAATCAAATATTTTAAATGATAGAATGTAGAGTTATCAAGTAACTTCAAGGGCTGGTTGTATAAAAAAGTGATTAAAGTTAACTATAATTAAGTGCAAACGTCATCCAATAAGAAGCGCGTATTTGAGAGTTAATCACTATTTAACTACAAAATAGTGATTAAAAAAGTGATTAAGAGTTTTATACAACCGGCACCAGGGCTTCCATGCAGAGGGCCGAATTGAATAGAATTTATAGACTCCTAAATTTTACAGATATTGGTTAAAAAATAAGAGTTTTACCCGTGTTTTAACAGGAATTTGTACCCTTAATTTAACTGGTTTAAGTCCGGAAAATTTTTTTCGACCCTTTTTTTTAATGTCCGGAAAAAACTTTTTCAACTGCGCTCGTAGCGAATACCTCATCAAAATTTCTGTTCAAAGTTGATGAGAGTTTGCGGTCAAAAAAATTTCGGTCAGTGTATCATTTTAGGGGTCAAAAAAATTTTCCGGACAACCAATATTTTTCGGAACATAACACAAATTTTCGAAAAATCACTAAATTTGCCAAAAAATTGACTTAATTTACAGAATTTGTCCCATTTTTTTTTTTTGGCAAACCGAAATTGCCCGACTGTTCATCGAATATTGCCCGACTGCCCAAAAAACTGGGGGGGGCTACCGCCCCCCCGCCCCCCCGCCCGGTACGCCTATGCATCTCTCAGCCGGTTCAAATTCTAATGAGAGTTGACGAAAGTTCGCCGCGCGCGTGGTAATATCCAGTCAACTCTCATCAACTTTCATGCAACTCTTGTTCTCGTTTGACAGGGGCATGAGAGTTGAGAAAACTCTCTTGCAAACTCTCGCTTCTCAACTCTCATCCTCGTTTGGCTTTACTGGACATTGGATGACTTCACTGTTCCAGTCTCAGTAGTATAACCACGCTGGTCCATGCAGATATTGACTGGTGATCACTCATTGCAAGTCTTCTCTCCATACTAGTTCCTCTCCACACCAAGTTACTAGACATCATCGAAATCCTATACCGTCAGATTTATTTGCGTCATCACTCATATAGTCAGTAGGGATTGTTCAAGTTCATTTATTTTAATTGCATCATATTTCAATTTTATCATTTACAATGGAGTATAAAAATAAGCGCAGCTAACTAATATCACATAATAAAACAGTGCTCATTAGGATAAAATAATTTGGTGGACAATTTAAGAAGCTTCAAACACTATACAGGGTGTATAAAAAAAACTGAACAGATTTGAAATTGCTCTCAATTTCGCAAAACACCTATTTGAATCCGTTTTTTTTTTATATATATAGCTTCTTTGGGTACTTATAATGTGGAATAATGAAAAAAATTTCTCGAACTCAAATTTTGTGAACCAGGGGTGTGTGTCTTTTCCAACAAACTAAAAATGGCTCACGCACAAAATTTAAAAGTTATAATCATATTTTGAGTTAATAGATGGAAAATTGGTTGGGTTTTTAATTACTGTACAAAATTTCAGACAATTTGGTTTACTTTAAGCCCTTTAACTATTCATTTTATTCTAAAAAATCAGCCTTTCGCATGCTTAATTAATGCCTTTACCTAATTTGTATATTGCTGACATATGCAAGTTAGGCAAAGGCAAATAGCTGATTTTTAGGAAAAATTTAACTTTGCGTGAATAGTTACCTTTAACTAAACCAAATTGTCTGAAATTTTGTACAGTAATTAAAAACCCGACAAATTTTCCATCTATTAACTCAAAATATGATTACAACTTTTAACTTTTGTGCGCGAGCCATTTTTAGTTTGTTGGAAAAGACACACCCCCTGGTTCACAAAATTTGAGTTCAAGAAATTTTTTTCATTATTCTTCATTTTAAGTAGCCAGAGAAACTATATATATATAAAACCGGATACAAATAGGTGTTTTGCGAAATTGAGAGCAATTTCAAATCTGTTCAGTTTTTTTTTATACACCCTGTAGTGTTTATAGCACACTGACAGCAAAATAGCTGATAAACTTGTGGCCTTCGTGTGGTGTTGAGGAAAAACTAAACATTGCTAAACTACCAAAATATCGTGGTATGTGCTAAATTTATGTGCCTTTATTTTGAATCCATTTGTTGGTCAGATACCGTGTTTATAAGTTTGTCTTGACAAATGTGACTATATTCTCGTCTATATTCTCTTGGCATAAAGTGTTAAAATATAATGCATAGACTTTCTACAGTGTATTTGTCTGGTCATCTTGCTGTTCACTTTGTCGACTCCCATTTGCAATGTACACCAAGTCTGGACTGTTTCCTGACGTACTGGCACCACTATCATTCCCGTCTCCGATCTCTTGTTCACAAAGTTTACTGGGTTTGCGCTGATCAGTGTGCGGGCTTTCAATATTCTCTGCAGGGTTCTTCATTGGCTGTAGCTCGATGTCGTCGGATGTTTTGGGTTTTTTCCTCGGAGTATCTTCTCTAGTGTCATCTTCTATCGTCTTTGGTTGTTTTGGTTTCTGGTGGGAGGGAACTTGTATGAACCCATCCACATGCTCGAATGTGGATTCATCTGCTTGGACTTCCTGCATTATGACATTAACTAGCTCTCCATTATTTAGATTCTTTGTGGAATTTGCCTTCATTGCTACGAGAATACACTTATCTTTACATTTGTTATTGAACGGGTCTTTCAGAATCTGGGATAGTGTTCTACAGAGAAGTTTAACTTGGTACTCAAGTTGTTTCTCATCCAGTGCCTTGATGATTTTATATCGACTCATGTTCTTTAAAGTTTCTAAGGGTTGCTTCACGTATTTTATGACGTATGTGCAGTAGTCGTGGTTGTTGTTGTATGTTAAGCAATAAACAGGAAATGTATATTTGCCGTTAGAAAATGTTCCTCGTTTGCTGATCTTATCATCCAGTTTTGCCAGATCATCTGTTGTACAATCGTGTGATATGAGCAAGATCAATTTATTTGAATTTAATTGTACTACTTGTCCGTCATTTAATTGTACTGAATTGCAACTGTTATTAGGGACTTTTTCTTCGAATTTCGGCACAGCATTCGCGAGATAGTTAAAATAGTAGGACCACGCAAGTCCGTTGGCGACATAAGTCTCTTTTTCTTCAAGAATTGTAGAAATATGAACCTCGGACTGTGTGTTAAGACTCAGCAAGTGCATCACAAGTGGACCCATGCACGCCGATTCCGCTAAAAATATACACAAGATAGCTTAGCTCAAGCCACGGCTTACCCGTTACGAAAATAAGAATAACGAGAATTATAGCGGCCAAACCAAGCAAAGCGATTACTGGACCCCATAAGATTCCACTGAAGCAAGCTTTGATCATCTTTTTACGACTTCCACCGTAGCGTTGATGTAGATGATGGCGTTCTTCGGCAATAAGCGACAAGCGGTCGACCAACGTGCCGAGTACGACACCAAATAAACCCAACGCGGTGGTAAACAAGCCGGAAAAGGTTAACTTTTCCTCCTTTCTGTAGCAAACATTTGTTGTATTTTTCTGTGTTGGACCACGGTAGTACTCGACCACATTTCGATTGACGACACAGAAAGCGATTAGAAGTATAGCTGTAATTGTACATAATATTATCGAAACGCATCTCGCACGCTTCTTTCGTTTTTCAGGAACGGGTATGACGGTATTTTGTCCGTCATTTTGTTCGGAATCCGATTCAACAACGTCAACAACACTCATATTTTCCCTCATATTGCTAAACTTTTCAACGCAACTGATACAGTATGACACAGTACAGCTTCATTTCAAGGGAGAATCCAAAGTGCTTTCGTCTTCCTGTTGTTCCTTGAAAATGGGCGCTGTCTGTGTCCCTTGTGTAAATTCTTTGTCCTTAAGGACCCTTAAATTTATTATCATAACAATAAATTGGCACTTTGTATAAATGTGGTAGTATTTAGATCTATCTAAAATGAAATGGTTGCTGGTTCCATTAGACTGTATAAAGTCATTAAAAGGGATTGCTTAAATGGAGTGACCCACCAGGGTATACCCTGCCAAAGCGTCAAAACACACGAGTGTATAAATGAGGTTTCTGTTTTGGCTATATGCAGAGTTCTGCCCAGGATGGGCTGCAACCACACGAACACTCGACAGTGCTGTCCGACACTCGTGCCGAAGCGGAAACGTCCGCACCGTTTGAAAGGCTTCGGTCACTTTGGATATGTAATACGTCAACCTAAAAGTTATGTTTTGTAATATATATTTTATACAAGTAATTTCGTACCTTTTTTCTTTGGTGAATTTTGTTATTTAAACAGTATAGTTTTAGATGAAGTTCAGGGGCCGGTTGTTGAAAGCAGGATTAGCGCTAACCGCAGGTTAAATTTAACTACCCTTTGCTTTGCTTTATGTATATCTGTACGTCTGTTTATTTCAAAACTTTAAAAAATTAAACTTCTGATGATTCAAACAAGATTTCTGAAAAAATATTTTCAAGTTTATAAACAAGCTGCAGGGAAGTTTGCTTAGAATTTCACATTAACCCAGGATTAAATTAACCGTCTTTTGAACAACCAGCTCCAGCACTATATGTACACAATGACGCGAATGTTGTACAGGGTGTGATAATTCGCGTACTTACGTACCGGAGCCAAGCCAATATTACGGTCTGATATACTTGTTTGTTTTCAACCACGTGGGTACGCGGAACTCTTGCATGCTATCTGCGCACTTCCTTTTTTTCTGGTACCACATGACCATTCCAAACACAAGGTATTCAATACCGTATTTAGTTGGTATATGTGTAAGAGTTACAAGTCTTGGCATGAAAAAATATTGGACTGATACCAGTATAACACTAAGGCGTGTTGAGGTCGATTGTTTGTATATGCAATTGCCTGTGCTTCTTGTTTTAACTATACAGTCCACAGTAGTAGTTTGAATATACTTTGCCGAAATCTGTACTTTTTGTGTATAAAGACTAAGTATACATTAAGTATTCAGCTTACTAGCGCAAGTACGAGGCGACAATCATTGGCGTACCACTCAGGTACGACTAAGGGCTGTTTTATACGTCGAATTTCGGTCGCGTCGATTGCAATTCAAACAATAGATGATGAAGCTTAATGAGGTTTATCATCTAATTATCTGTTGTCTTAATTGCATTCGACACGACCAAAATTGGACGCACCCTGCAGTGCAAATAGCTTTTGATTCGTCCTGATGAAAACGTAATCGTAAAGATATGAATGGTATTTGATGAGAAAGATGAGCTCATGAGATATGAATGATATTCGATGAGAAACGTTAGTCCGAACATTAAGTAGAGCAGCCTACAGCTACAACAGTCAAGTAAACTACAGCACTATACACCTAATTTTCTGTAGGCCCGGAGAGAGTACTGAACATTCTCAGGCTGCCGGGAACGGCGATTCTGGAAGTATAGAATGTCAAAACACACAGGAACAAGCGGAGAAGAAATTGCGTCGTTTAAAGAAAAAAATACAGCAAATTGAGAAACTGAAATCCAAACAGGACGAAGGAGAAGTATTAGAAGATCTTCAGGTAATATAAGTAAAGAGAAAGACTGTGTTATAAATTAAACAACCTTTCGTTGGTAGATGCAACTACCTGAAAAATATAAGGAGAATTTCAAAAATTATCTCTCCTTGCTAAATTGCAAAGAATGCAACTTAAACCTGACCAGAGTCGAAGGCTGCAGGAAGCTGGCTTACGCCATCAAGGTCTCTGTGATCACTGTAGAGATTTTGTAATTCTAAATTTTGAAGGGTTTGTAAGAAATGTTTGAGGGAACTTATACTCAATGTTTACAACTAAGCCAGTTCCCTCAAACATTTCTTACAAATCCTTCAAAACGTTGATCGAATTTACCTTTGCAAAATTCCTACTGTGATATACTTTGAAAGTGTAAACCTCAGTTTTATCATTGCATGTTTAGATTGCTAAGATTCAGTCTGAGGCGATTTTGAACTACAGAAATCGATGAACTACAGGAACGTTTGGAACAGATGTGAGTAACTGTGGATACCTAGGGTGCACAATCTGAAAAGAACCTATTCAGTTTTGGTAGCGTGATAAAATTACGGAAACGTGTGACTTTCTTGAAGGGGAGTGGATAGATGAAGTAATTACTATATTGTAAATGTCGGGTATAGAGCCCATTTGAGAATAGTTTTAAGATCAACGCCAGGGAACATGGCTAGGAAACAGTGGTTTCATGTTTGTCCACCTTTGCGAAACATGGTTTGCCCATTTTCGAGAAACATCGCTGGGAATTCCTGGAATTTCCACCTTTGCTTGGAATACATGCTAGGAAACGATTTTTCAATGCTTCCTTGTTTGGCAAGGGTAGATTTGGGAAACATGGTTTAATAGTAGAAACAATCGAACTGTCGATTGAACCATACACCACAATGCAATACTATTAGGTAGACAAAATTTTGGTCGTTTTAATAAAATTATGCAGGTTGTAGTTCAAATCAAGTTTCAATTCAAATACGATACACGAATGATGCTTGTAACCTTTCAGTGCAAACGAAATAGAGATAATTTAATTTCCTATTTAAAATGGTTTGGCTAAACAGACTATACAAAATAACAGTAACTCCGAATAACATTTTGATTTTTAATCGACGTTTCGACTAGTTTGTAGTCATCCTCAGTAGTTACTCACATCTGTTCCAAACTAGGAATTCGGTTTTCTCGGGTGCGCCTGACCTTATTATTAAAAGTTTAATATGGTAAAATGCAAAAGTCAAGAATTTGGGGGAGCAAAGTTATTGAACTGTCGTTGGATTATATCCCCAACCGTGAAGGCCATAGAAATAATAGATATCTATTATTTCTATAGTGGAAACCCAGTGTAGGTAAGTTCCAGGGCTCGAATTTTATCGCGGCAATTGCCGTAGAGGGAGAACAAAATGCTGTGGATCATTGTGGCAACGACGGCAATTTTTTGCCGTATAGTGCAATTTTTATACTATTCACTGTGCATTACTATTTTGATACTTGAATTCAGATGTTGATCAAATCATGCGTAAATCACTATTTTAGTCTCAGTTTTCTTCGAAAAAACCCACTAAAGAAACACGTAGATGTTTCTAGCCTGCATGGCAACACGGTCCTGCGGCAAAACCCCCCAAAACGGGCAAGGCTTGATTGTGATTGGTGACTACCTCGGACTACCCTATTTAATCTGCTGGCCAATCACAAGACTCGATCATATAGGTAGGTATTTACTGCCATAGCTAAGTAGCTAAGGCTACGTTTATACTGAACAGGATAGCTTTCCGTAACGAGGTGGAAAAACACCTATACCAGTACCTTTTACTATGTACACATACCTATTACCTACAGTGTAATGGCTATCGCTATATGCAGGTGTATATAGGAATTTTGCTTAAATTTAGCTCTATATACCGTATTTCGTGATAGAGAAAACTTTGTTTCAAACGGCTCTGCGTCTAGAAATATAGTACTGGGGTCAGTTGCATGTACATTACATGTAAATCTGGAGGCATATGCATGGCATTGTCCACCGGCGTACAGTGATTTTTTTCAAACTTTCTAAAATTGTTCGTTATACTTTAGTATAATCCAAACAACAAATTAAAACTTGGTATTTGTACATTAAAGCCTATTTTTATTTGTTATGAGGATATAGCTTTTCAAACATTTAAAAAAAATCACTATCTGGTGGATAGCGCTATTCAGCCTTCGAACAACCGGCTTCTGCTTGCAATAACTACTCGGATGACTCACTGATGCAGTACAATAAATTCCACACGATGGGGCCTTCGTTTGAAACGTCGATCTAAGTGTTCTCCATCTTTTTCAAGAGCTGAGTACCTAGTAGATCGCGGAATGTAGTCAAACATTGCCATAAGGCATAACTATACACTTCCAGCATGCATGTTATATGTAAACAACGAGTTTGAGTGTTTCATCAGGGGATCCAAACACGAGAAAACTGTATGAAACACGAGCGCGAAGCGCGAGTGTTTTATTGTTTTCAAGTGTTTGGTCCCCTGATGAAACACGAGAAACGAGTTGTTTACACAACATCTCAAACGAAAACATTTCATTGGCTTATATATATTATTATAGTATATTGTTGTGTTTTGACTTGAATTTGTAATTAGGATCTCAGTTATTAGATGAAAACCGTTTTTCATCTAACAACAGTGATGGTATATGATTTTTAGCGTGTTTCCTTGCGGTATCCAACCTCAATCATGTGACGAATTAGGGTGAGTTCATTCGCTAATTTGCTCATGAATTAATGAGTTTGAGATGTATATATAATTATAACAAATAGAATATCCTAAAGTTTATTTATAGCATGAACTTCAGACGGCCACTCGTTGAGGTGGCCATCTGAAATTCAGGCTAGTCTATTTATTTCAAATAAATTATTATTTTACAGGAAGGTCCACATTATGAACCATGTGTGCTATTGTTTGCTTCAAAAATGTTCTTTGACCGCACATTACTATGCGTACTACACTATTCACTAGACACTAGTGTTTATAGTTATTTAACAATTATTCGCCGAAGGCGAGGTGAATATCGCTGAATAAAAACCGAGACGAAGTCGAGGTTTTTATTCAGCGATATTCACCGAGCCTGAGGCGAATAATTGTTTTAGTATAATTACAAAGGTGATTATTTGAAAAAAATAATATAACACATCTCAATTTTTTGAAAATCGTTTAATTAAATTCATAAAGAAAGCGGTATGCGCAATGAAGGCGCTCGTATCGCCATCAAGATTCAAGGATGTTTTTTGTAGTAATTCCCATCACTTTTTCTTGCAGAAAGGTATAGAATTTTGATAAAAATTCGGTTCATTTCGTCAATACTCATGTCTTCAAACTCATTTGTGAATTCTGACTGATGTTGAAACCAATCTGTAGAAAATATATTTTTACAAACGTAAACAAATGTCTAGACAATTCACAATTGTAGTACGGCAATTTAAAATAAAACGATGTTTTATGCGAAATAAAGTTAGGCAGATTTCTGCAACTTAGTTTCCTACCTCAAAATAATTTTAAGCCAAATTTTGTCTCTTCTTTCGTGCTCTTAGGTACAGCATTTTCTTTAAAATTACTTATTTCTTTATCTGTCACTTTGGCAAAACAACTCGCTGCCATTTTGAAAAAACCGCTTAGGTGATTATCGCGTAATAATCCGAGGTCGCTTGACCAATCAGCGGCCACAATTTTCTCTAATCACCTTTGTAATTATACTAAATTCTGATATTCTAACTTCTACTATTGCAATATTCTAACTCCAAACAATATGAATAATTTACTATCATTTCTCACGTTGTTTCTTAAGGACTTTTGGGTGGTGCTGATGGCTCAGGGTAGTTGAACTGAGGTGGAGTTTGCTGCACGAGTCTTTCATATCTGTCAAGAGTGGTAATAAGAGTTTGATTATATATACAGGGTGAATAGAGAAAGGTACTAAGGAACTTCAGAGTGAGTTCAGCATGTCTGCATGGCCTTTGCATGCGTTAGATATCGAGTTTACGGACACCAGGGTCTCCACCCTTGGGTGAAGGTGAAATTCAAGGACTTTTCCAGGACATTCAGGGCCCATTTTCAGTAAATTCAAGGACCTAGAACTGGGAAAAATCTTTGAAAATGACACGGATTTGCCGTAAATAATTCACTTTATTCAGTTATTTTAATCAAAATCACTAATGTTGGCACAGCGGGAGGTTAAGGAAATTAATTCCAGGACTTTCAAGGACTTATACTGATTTTCAAGGACTTTCCAGTCCTGGAATTTTGTTTTTCCACTTCAATGACTTTCCAGGATTTTCAAGGCCCGTGGACACCCTGTGATACACAACAACAAAAATGCAGGGGCCGGTTGTATAAAACTCTTTTAATCACTTTTTTAATCACTATTTTGTAGTTAAATAGTTATTAACTCTTAAATAGGCGCTTCTTATTGGATGACGTTTGCACTTAACCATAGTTAACTTTAATCACTTTTTATACAACCGGCCCCAGACTTTTAGCTGTCCAATAACAGCTCCTCCGCCAAAAAAAATATGAATGTAAAAATTGTGAAATATGAGACTCAGTTATTATGAATTATGCTCATATTTGTCTAAAAGGAGGCCAGATTTCCGAAGAGGGGATAGCATGCTTCTGCTTAAACGTGAGCTTCGAAGTACCAGGATTTATTAATCGAAGCTAGGACGCTTCAACTACGCATCCAAATGGCAAGTCGCTTAAGAGTTAAGTCCCGTTTACACTATGCTCAATTTTTGGTACGTCACGGATAAAATTGGTACCCGTACCACTTTATTGGTTCTTGGACTACGATATTTTGAGCCCCGTTTACCTACGCTCGATTTTTGTACCAATTTTATCCGTGCCGTACCAAAAATTGAGCGTAGTGTAAACGGGGCTTTAAGTTCACTAAATTGTAGAAGGAGTATTTTTTGTAAGAGAGTAGCCGTACAAAATAGCTTGGCTGTTTTGAACAAATTTTCGCATGATATTTATATCATTTGATTTGTCTTCAACACATGTTTTTAAGACATTTTATGCCTGTTCCGTTGGATGCACAGTTCTAGGCCTTTGGGGCAGATTCACCTGATAATTTCTCCAAGATACTAGACTAACCAATAAGATATTGTATTAAAGAAAAGGCACGAGGAAAACTAGGTAAAAAGAGAAATTTCCACACAGCTTTAGCTAAATTTACCTATATGGCTGATGTTGGGAACTTTCCGCTTCAGTGAGTGAATGGTATTGCGAGATAGTGGGCTGTTGTTTATAAGGTGTGGTGTCATACAGTCGATACGTTCCAGGAGATATAAGTGAATAATGAACAGGTTCCAGATCATGTGACCATGATAGTCGGGGAACACACAAACAAGTGAAGATAATTGTGAAAATAAGCACCATGAAGATCGCCCTAAAAATAGAATTCACTGATATAAACGTTGAAGTTTATAATTTAACTGTCAACTTTTCACCAACTCAAAATTGACTCTTGTCGGTTACTAAAGAGAAACGATGCATGAAAAATGTCATTTTAAACCTGCACTCTTTTATCAAATGTAAAAAGTCAATTATTTAATTAAGGAATAAGGACAATCCACTCCGACATCCCGACATGTGATTGTGGTAAACTCGAGGTATGAGTTATGTCATTAAATATCTAATTTTAGTGTGCAGTAACCAAGTTGTGCAGTGATAAAAAGTGAAAGTGTACAGTCTGTGATAAAATTTGTTGTGAGAAATTTATAAATGCATATAAATATGTCCTAAAGCCTAAAGGGCCATGATTTATTTAATATATATCAGTTCCATATTATGGCTATATTCAATACATTGTGTTACTGGGCGTACCCACTGATGGGTGTACCATTAGTCTCTGGACTGCATGGCAGACACACTATTGTTTATGTATGGAATGTGTAGACTGTTAAGTTTCTGCTTGTTTTTTAAGGTAGTAATATAACCACTCCGCACAGCATTTTCACATTGCCTGGTACTACCTACACTGGTACAGACAGTTTTAGTAATTTTAAAACAAGGCAAGGAGATGCAAATAAATCACCACAGCTAAAAAGAACATATTAAAATGAGTACAATTGCAAAGTTTGGTTACTTTTATTTGTATTGCGTGCGGAAATTGCTACCACATTTGGGTCGAAAATGGTAGCAATTTCCGCACGCAATACAAAAGTATACAAAATTTGCGAACTTTGCAAGGCTATATTGTCTGCATTTTACAACATTTCGCAACCAAACTTTGCAATTTTACTCATTTTAGCATGTTCTTTCTAGCTGTGGTGATATTTTAAAATTAGTCTTTCCCAGTTTTCCACTTACAAAATATTCTATTTGACTGTGAAATACAGGGTGTATAAAAAAAAACTGAACAGATTTGAAATTGCTCTCAATTTTGCAAAACACCTATTTGTATCCGGTTTTTTATACATATAGCTAATTCTTTGGGTACTTATAATGTAGAATAATGAAAAAAATTTCTTGAACTCAAATTTTGTGAACCAGGAGTGTGTGTCTTTTCCAACAAACTAAAAATGGCTCGCGCACAAAATTTAAATGTTGTAATCATATTTTGAGTTAACAGATGGAAAATTTGTTGGGTTTTTAATCACTGTACAAAATTTCAGACAATTTGCTTTAGTTTAAGCCCTTTAACTATTCACTTTATTCTAAAAAATCAGCCTTTTGCATGCTTAGGGAGTGGTCATTATTTATGGGGAGGGGGGGGGGGTGTTGGGAAATGGGGAAAATAAGGATTGAAAACTTTTTTGACCTCCCCTCCAGACTAAAGGCAAACTTTTTGTGCCTCCCCCTCATAAAAGCAGAAACTTTTCTGACCCCCCTCCTATTGGATTGAAAAATTAACAGCAATGAAACAGGTGTGTGTTGCAGGTAAAGTTAGATATCAGGACAATCTGTTTAATCTAGCTCATGATGTTTTACCCTGGTGAATATGATTCAACCATATATGATTAAAAAATATATATTATGTGTTACTAATTTGCAATGCAACATTTGTCCTACCATAACCCTACCCCATGACCTGTCTTCATACAGCGAAATGATTTTCACACAGGGTCTTTTTAAGAACTTGTCTGGGGGGTGGGCATGCCATCTACAAAAAGGGACCATACTATATTGAGTGTGGAGAGATGACAGATGGTTGTTGGTGACAAAAAGTTTGATGTGGTATCGTATGTACTAGTAGGAGGGTCTGGGGGTATTCTCCCCCAGAAACTTTTTTGTATTTTCCAACCCCTAGAACTGAAATGTGAGCATTTTCTAAAACAGATTTTTGGATATACAGCATTACATTGTGCGTTGATAGACCGAATCTGATCAGTTAAGTGTACTTGCATGGTATGTTTATGTAAATACCACAACTGGGTCATTCAGGGGTAGAAAGCTTGTTAAACTTAGTGGGCCCAACTCCTACGATCGTGAAGCGCTACCATGGTTGGCGCCGAGCAGCGAAATTTTGAAAATTTTGAGTCTCTAGATCGTTGGAAATAGCATTTTCAGAGTCTTCTTTTTTGCTATTTGTGATTATAGAAATCAGAACTCTAGACGTGGTATTTAAGTTCAAAAACTTTTATGA